CCCAAACCCAGTGTTGACCAGTGGACTGGGGCCCAAGCACCTGGCTGCACTGGAGGACAAGCAGCAGAAGAGGAGAAGAGCGGACAAAGGGCAGCAGGAGGCCAGAGAAGAGGAATGGGTAATGGGGATGAGGGGCTCACAGCCCAAGCCAGCTCTCTGGTCTTCTTCCCACTGCCCCACCCGCACCCTCTGCCATAACTCAGGACTTCCCTCCTGATTTTCTATAACACAGGGAAGATTCTGGGATTGAAAAGCTCTTGACAGCATGTGGAGGATAAGCTTAGGAACCTCCCGGCCCCCCCGCCCTGGGGTCACACCAACGGGTTGACAAGTCATAAAGAAATACAAAGTCATGAAATGCTCACCCCCAAGTTTGGGTAAATCAGACTGTCACCCAAGAACGGGGGGGGGGTGCAAAGACACCCTGAGAATAGGGAGGCACAAAGGTGTCAGGAATAGGGGGTGCAAAGGCACCCCAAAATAGGGAGGGGTGCAGAGCCCCTCAAAATAGAGAGAGGCAAAGGCCTGATATAGAAACGGCACAAAGGTGCCCAATACATAGGAATAACAAGATTAGATATTCAGGGTGAAAGCACCCCCAATTTAGTACTATAGCAGAAAGCTGCTTTCACAGGAGGATAGGGGCAGGTTAGGTAAATTGGTGAATTGGACTATGGACCGCTGTGCTGCAAACAAAGCAGCCTGGAGTGGAGATGGTTAACAAAAGAAAAGGTGCCTTGTCAACCCTGAGGTTATTTCCCCCATCTGTCTCATCCCCAAGGCTGGCAAAGATAAAGAGATGCTGCCTCATCATGTCCGCTGTAAACAACCTTCCTCCCAACTGCCCAGCGCCTGGATTTTCTTTTGTATTAACCCAAACCCCTAACCCCAAGTATCCTCGAGACCCCCTTTCCCTCACGTCCACAAGCTAATGTTCGCAGATTCACTGTCCTTATGTGCATGTCGATCATTATGTTTGTAAGCCTTCTGATCCTAATAAAAATGGGGCAAGGCCCCTTATTCGGGGCTCTTGTCTTTTCCCGGACATTAGCCATCTCTCGCTTTCAATCCTGCGTCCGCCCTTTTGCTGGCCAAAAGAGAACTTCAGACTTAAGAGTCTATGACAACAGCAGGTTAGGGAAAAGAAAATACAATACAATGAAATGGCCTAGAGGTAAGACAGTTCGGTATGTCAGACTCAACTGCAAAAGCTCAGTGCCACTCAGCATTTTGCCTTGAAGCAGAAGAATAAACTGAACCAGAATGCTTAAGGAAGAAATGGTTGAGGATTAGTGAAGTAAGGAAAGGTGAAAGAAGAGGTCAAAAGGGATCACGGATGGGGGCCAGAGGCTGAAATGTCATTCTGCTGGAGTGGTATATGATATGTCAGTGACTCATTGCATGGTCTCAGCAGAAATGACAAGAGTAATCACATCAGAAAGTAGCAGCCCAGGGTCTGATTAGATCAGTTGTTGCCAATGCAGGAGCTTGGCTTCTAGTGTCTACAGACTGAAATGTCATTAAGATTCCCTCTCCAGGAGAATTTCCTGATGAATCTTGCTCAGCACTTAAAAAACAAACTAACAGGAAACAAACAACCACAAACCCAGCACCACATTGCACCTGGTTGTGTACACAGTTCCTTAGATTCCAGAACATTCTAGACAATTTTCTTTGGATCACAAGGTTTAATCGATTGTTGAAATGAGAACATGTCCTTCTTAGTTTGGAGCCAGGGCTAAGATGGGAGTAAAGTGATCCTGACAGATTGTCCAGGAGACAAAATCCTAAAGGGTGTGTAGTGACAGAGGACTAGGTAATTGGGGACAAGCAGAATTGAAGTTTGAAAGAAAGCAGATGGGAGGGAGGAATGTGGGCAGAGGTATACTCGGTTTCCATAGAAAAACTAGAAGTGAAGTAGGGGACATCTGCCCACTGTAGTTCAGTGAAGTCTCATGACGTCCCTGACATCTTAGGACATCGCATGATGTCACATCCAATGACATTGGTCACTGCTGTTGAGATGCCTCAGTAGGCCAAGTGACTTCAGAGGTGTGCGTGGAAAGGGACAAGGGAAGGAGGCTCAGTGAACATTCCTACTTGAGTGGTCCTCTTGGACGATGGTTTTATATTCTCTGGACATGAATGTCATGAAGACTGACTCTTATGGGGACACTTGTGGGGTTTTATTCAGAGACTTTCATACTGGCCCTTTCTGACGTTGACTACCCCAACACAGGCAGTGCCTTCCTTGTGGATGCTCAATTTTTAAAAAACGATCTACTTATTTTTGAGAGGGGGGTGAGGGACAGAGAGAGAATCTGAAGTGGGCTTCTGCTGACAGCAGAGAGCCCGATGCAGGGCTCAAACTCATCAACTGCGAGATCACGACCTGAGCCGAAGTTGGACGCTTAGCCAAATGAGCCACCCAGGCGCCCCTGCGGATGGCCAATTTTGATACCTATTCAGCTTCTCATTTTTTGGCAGTCTCTGTGAGAGTCCCTTGCTCTCTGGTCAGAAGCACCTTGAGCAGAGCCCAGGGCTTTAGATTCCTCAGGGGTGTGTCAATCACTCAGAGGAAACAAACCCCTCTCACTAGGCTTGGGATGAGAAGGTAGCACCCCTCCCCTTCCTCCTTGGGGTGCATTGGACTCAGAGCATGGCAGCTCTCTGGAGAGATCTCTTCATTAATCTACCCCATTCACAAAAGGCCTCCCCACTCTTTTTATACCCTCAAAACTGATGAGGAGTTTTAACGGAGAAGAAACTGTTTTTACGGCTTTCACATTTCCCATTTTTGTCGATCTCAGGATTTACCTCGGTAACTGGTAATTGACATGACTGGGCAATTGCAATATTGTGTGGTAAGTGTAGGACACAAGGTCTATGCATGTGGCATTCAGAGAACAAAGAAAAGGACTATCTGGCCCAAATGGAAGATCGATGGTCCAGAAGATTCCTGGAAAAGGTAACTCCTGATGTGATTCTTCCTGTGTTTTTTTATTTTAATTTTTTACCATTTGTTTATTTGTTTATTTATTTATTGAGAGCGTGCATGAGTGGGGGGAGGGGCAGAGAGAGGGAGAGAGAGGATCCCAAGTGGGCTCTGCGTTGACAGCAAGGAGCCCGATGCAGGGCTCGAACTCACAAACCGTGAGATCATGACCTGCGCTGAAGTCGGACGTTTAACCGACCGAGCCACCCAGGCACCCGTTCCGTTTTTTTTTTTTTAAACAATTTATTTTTAAAAATTGATTTATTTCAGAAAAAGAGAGTGCATGTGCCCGAGTGGGAGAGGGGCAGAGGGGGGGGAGAGAATCCCAAGCAGGCTTCGCGCTGTCAGCACAGAGCAGAACTCGGGGCTTGATCTCATGACTCTGGGATCATGAACTGAACCCAAATCAAGAGTCGGATGCTCAATCAGCTGAGCCACCCAGACGCCCCTGGTTCTTCTTTTTTAAAAATTCAGTAAACCTTTGTGCCCCGGTTACATTGAGATCTAACTGATATGCAGCACAGTGTAAGTTTAAAATGTACATCACAATGATGTGACATATATACTGTGAAATGATTACTACAATAAGGTTCATCGACATCATCATCTCATATAGATACCATTTTCTAAAGAAGGGAATGACAATGGTCATGTATGGATTTAAAATATACTGTGACAAGAACTGACCTCAGGAGTTGAGACGCATGAATATTTTGAAATGATGATATCCTATTCAAAAAGCAGTTTGAATAGGATTTAATGGACTCTGAAACTGTACTTTTAAATTAGTGAGTGTGCCTAGTAAAAAGCTTTGCACTGATAAGGAATATGAAACAGTCAACTGAAATATTATAATTATCTTAATAGTTAAAGCATCTTATTAATATGCCAATTACTTTGACAGGTTTTTGGGGGGGGTATGAAAGGAAGGAATTCTCTTAGCATCCTTATCATATCATTATGGATCATTTACCAAGCGCTCACCTACACATCGCCCATGATGGGTCACGCAATCAAAATGCATGCATCATCTAGGCCTCAAGGAAATTTTGACCAAATACATTAAACCCACAGTTATGTGCCTAATACTGGTCTTGATTTGATCGATCAAAACCTCGAAAGTCACCACCCCCCAAAAGAAGACAACAGACATCTGGTCAATCAACTTTATTTTAGATTGCCTAAATGTGTGCTGACCTCTGTATCCAGACACAATGGAGGGTACAAAGGGAAGAAAAGGCAAGATTCCTATCCTCCAAGAAATTAACGTCAGCCGAAGACGCATTGCACGAGACAGTAAGACTTAAGGATACATGACGAGTAGCACTGCGTAGCACGTAACAACTCAGTACAGAGCAAACCCACACAAAGGAACGCCATCAGTGACCATGGCAGGGAGTGGAAGAGGGTGATCGGGGCACACATACTGAGGGGTGGGAAAGGCAACGGACCTGTGTTCTAGCCCCCCAGGTATCAGTGGCTTATTGTAGACCTGGGGCAATTCATTCAGCTCCGCCCCTCCTGGCCTTGGTTTGATCATCACTATAATAGAAAGTGAAGCCTGGGTGGTCTCTAAGGCCCAGCGATAACATTATGGGATTCTAAGGACAAAGGCAGAGAACTTGGATGAAGAGGACGTTATAAGTAAGAGAAGAGATGAGCCCAAAGCCACAGAGGTGGGGAAAAAACCAGCTTTCTTGTGCATGGGCAAGGTGCATTGTGGGACAGCGAGGACCTCAAAGAGCCTGTTTAACTACTGTAAAGATTCTGGGGGTGGTAAAGTGGGACATGGGCAAGACAGAGCGCGAAGCCAGGTACGGGGGACCACATGTAGGGGCCAAATGGAAGAAGACATACTGTGTGTGTTGTGGTCGGAAGTCTGACTTGTCTGCGTGCTCCCCACCTCATTCTACAGTCTACACGTCTTCTTGGAACTTTATTGCAACCCCTTCCCCAAACCCACACACCCGACGGAGTAAGGGGAAGGTGTAGTTACAGACGCCCCTTAGAACCGCACAAGTAGACCCCTCTTGTGGGCCAGGAAGCCGAGAGCGGTTGCCGAAAGGATGGTGGTCAATCCAAGCAGCCTCAGCAGGCCTGGCACAGAGGGCAAATGTCTCTCCAAGAAGGTCGCGGTAGTGGGCTGCGCGGGGACATCCTGGATTCGGAGAACACACGCTGTCAGTACGGGGCTTACGCGCTTTGCTCCAGAAATATTTCCTCCAGCTCTCTGAACATGACCCACTCTTGCCAACGGCTGGGCCGTTAAATATAAAGTGCCTGCTGCTCATGACACGCATCCCCCATTCTCTGCTAGGCCCTTTACTTGGCTAATGTGGACTCATGCTTCCAGTCTTAGTTCACAGGCTCCTGGGGGAGCCTTTCCTGTGTCCTCCAGGCCAAGATGGCCCCTTCTTTTCACACTCCTGGCGTGTCTGGTTCATGAGCCTTGTGCCTTCTGGTTATCACCTGTTCTCCCCACATGTTGTCGCCCTGTGGAAGCAGTGGTAGGCCCTTAACATGGTGGCCGCGGCAGAGTAGCTACAAAGTCACTATTTGTTGAGGGGAATGAATCCGCGGTCCATTCAGCCCCCAGTCCCATCTCTGACAGAGGCACTAAGACAGTGACGGGCACTGGCAGAGCTTTACTTTTCACCTTGATCAAGGAGTAACTCTGACCCTTTTGACCCTTGTCCTCTGCGATGCATTTCGCTCTATAGGAAAAGTTCCTGAGGTTTTATTAGAAAAGTAATAGGGCGTATACTGCAAATGCTGTTTTTAATCTAAATCTGCTCCGTTTCATTCCGCTGCATCCCTTGGACCGTAGACAGGGTTATCACCAGGTTAGAGATATATGCAGCAGGCAATCACTGAGTTCTTAATATGTCCTAGAACACTCTGGCCCAAAAAAAAAATCGTGTTTTTTTTTTCCCCCCTGATAATCTGCAATGGATGTGGCAGCTACAAATTTATTGATTTCTTTTACATCTCTCTCACCTCTGCCCTCACTCATGGTTATCTATCTATCTATTTATTTATTTTTCCTGAAAAACAGTGATTTTATTTTATTTACCTATTTATTTGTATTTATTTTTTTTTATTATTTATGTATTTTTTTAAATATGAAATTCATTGTCAAATTGGTTTCCATTTTTTTTCTGAAAAACCGGGGATTTTATTTTATTTTGATTTTTTTTAATTCTTAAATTTTTTTTAATATGAAATTTATTGTCCAATTGGTCTCCATCATGGTTATCTTTTTAAGCATGCATGGGTTGAATCACTTAGGGAAAGGCGTGAGACTATATACAAGTGGTTCTTTCTGCAAATAATTGTTTTTAGAGAAAGGAGATTTAAATTCATGAAATAAAATGCAACCTACCACTGACTCTGGTTCTGCCTGCCAGATTTCATCCTCTGGGATCTTCCCCATGGCATGCAGGATCTGAAAAGAAAGAGTATTTTCGCGAATAGTAAAAGCGACACCATCTTCCTGCGAATCTGCTCTTTGAAGGACTAACTGGGGGCGCCTGGGTGGCTCAGTCGGTTAATCGTCCAACTTTGGCTCAGGTCATGATTCTACGGTTTGTGAGTTCAAGCGCCCATGTCTGGCTCTGCGCTGATAGTGTGGAGCCTGCTTCGGATTCTGTGTCTCCCTCTCTCTCTACCCCTCCCCCTACTCGTGCTCTGTCTCTCTCTCTCTCTCTCTCTCTCAAAAATAAATAAACAGAAAAAAATTTTTTAAATAAAAAATAAAGGAGTAACTGAACGTCTCTTGGGATATCCATCAAAACACCAGGGTAAAAGCCAATGTGGTCCATTTAACCTTTAAAAGGCTCTAAAAGGTCTTTCATCTAGAACATAAGAGGCTCCAACTGTTAGGCTCACCAGAAATTTTAGTAGTTTTGAACATGAGATCATAGGGGTTGTCAGGAAATATATAAACGAATTCTGAGTCATAATAAAAATGTGTTTGGTTTTATATTAGACCTAGGTTATCTTTTAAGTATATCCATAGTGATCTTTTGCCCCATAGGGTCTTTTTACTTTGGGTTCCATGACAGATATTTTCATTATTGCTTCCGGATTAAGATGTTCACTGTTCCTGAGAATACTGTTAAAATGGTGTTTCATGGGGCGCCTGGGTGGCTCAGTCGGTTAAGTGCCGGACTTCCGCTCAGGTCATGATCTCACGGTTCGTGGGTTCGAGCCCCGCGTCGGACTCTGTGCTGGCAGCTCAGAGCCTGGAGCCTGCTTCAGTTTCGGTGTCTCCCTCTCTCTCTGCCCCTCCCCCGCTCGCCCTCTGTCGCTCTGTCTCTCAAAAGTAAATAAACATTAAAAAAAATTTTTAAAACGGTGTTTCATGGATCTTCAGGTGGAGGTTAACCTGTTTGTCAGACTCCTGCATTGCGTCCTTCCCCACAGCCCGTGACCCCGAGGCCTTACCTCTCTGGCTGCTCTCTCCCCGGCCTCCACAGCCCCCTCCATGTAGCCACTCCAGTGGGTGGCCGTCTCGGTGCCTGCAAAATAAATCCTGCCCACGGGCTGTCGTAGAACCCTTGAAACAAAAGCAAAGAGGTAAAAGTGGTCAGTCTCAGAGAGTCAGAGAACAGCCTGCCCGCAAAGACCGAGTGTGGTCGGTTTCCTCCGATACTAAACATCAGGAGCACACTGGCAATTCTGCAATAAGGTTCACAGCTTCCTCGAGCTATTGCATGGTCCTTGTTACAGACAAGGAATGCAAGCTGAAGTCCCCTCCTGCACCAAGAGCTTACAGGTAAAGGGACTGACATCAGGGGAGTATGTATTTACTTCACCTATGTGGAACTTGGGACTATTTGAGCCAAGTCAAGTATAGCTCCGTTTATGGCTCACCAGCTATAAGCAAGGTGATACATGTCCCGGTTCCCTACCTGGCTATTCCAGCAATGAACTTGGCAAATCACTTCCTCTCGCCGAGCTCTTGGATTCCCCGTCTCTTAGTGAGCACGGTCCAATGAGTTCTAAGAAGTTTTCTACTGGTGACCGGTAACAAATCTGTGGGTCTGACGACGGCTACAAGACTACCACTCACTGAACGCCTCCCTCTACCAGTGTTAAGAGTTTTACTGCATTCAGTAACAGTTAACATTTCTTGGGTGCCAAGCACTCTTCTAATTGCATCAATCCTCACCACAGCCCTATGAGGTCGGTGCTGTTATCATCCCCATTTTGCAGATGAGACTATGGAGGTACAGAGACACATGTGTGTCATTGGGAAACACTGTCAAGACCCCCCGCCTCCCCTGGCAAGAATGAAGGATTTATTCCCAGCTACTGGCCGGGGGGGTGGGGGGGGGTGGTGCTTCCAGAACATGCCTTCTGATGTCAATCCTCTTTGGAGGCTGCTGAAGAAAACTGTCTCATCTCAAGGTCATGCCTTCTCCCAGAAGCAGAAGCACTCAATGATCAATCATCATGGGGTGGTAAAGACCTAACCCCCTTGCTCCAACTTGGAACAACTCTCACGGGCCATCCTACCTCCAGAGCTCCCTAGGGGATCAGCTGGGGCCTTCACGAGGCTACATCACGGTCCAACTTCTCCCTCTTCCTACTCTTGGTTCTTTCCTCTCACTTCCACAAGCATCGACACCAAGGGCTCTCTCTAATACATAGCTCATGTGCTACCTGTGCTTCAGAGTCTGCTTCCGGGGGAGTCTAACCAGCCACAAAGTCCTTCGCTCTAGGTAATGGCTAATAAGTGGCAGAGCTGGTATTTGAACCCAGGCCATTTGACTCCAGCACCCACAGTCTTAGCCACTGGTTATATTTCTTCCCTCTACTGAATTACTTGATCCTTTTCAAGAACTCCACGGCATAGCTACTGTTATCATTCTCCCCTTTTTCACATGAAGAAACAGGCCTGAAGAAATGTGCCAAGAGCCACACTGCTAGAAAACAGCAGAGCCAGGATTTGAACTAGGTCTCCCAGAGGTCCAGGTCTGTTTTTTTATCCTCTATGCTTTGTCTCGTGTATCATCGTCACTAGTTAGGAAGCAGTGCCCATACGCTATACAACGGGACAAAAGTGCGTTAGAACTTGGCTTCTAAGAGGGATGGTTTGTTGCTACCCTGACAAAAACACCATAAGGGGAGCACTGTTATGATGTCATTATTCATCCTATCTTAGGTTTCTTCTTTTTTTTTTTTTTTTACAATTTTTTAATGTTTATTTATTTTTGAGAGAGAGAGAGAGAGAGCGAGCCCAAGTAGGGGAAGGGCAAAGAGAGAGGCAGACACAAAATCCGAAGCAGGTTCCAGGCTCTGAGCTGTCAGCCCAGGGCCGGACATGGGGCTCAAACTCACGAACCGTGAGATCACGACCTGAGCCAAAACCAAGAGTCGGATGCTTAACCAACTGAGTCACCCAGGCTCCCCATCAGGTTTCCATTATATCAAGTAAAGGATGTGGATGTCCAGAGCGAACAACCAAACTCTTATCTTGGTCGACCCTGTATACCACCAAGACTTTTATCAGCAAAAAAATGGGCATGCTTCAATTAGTGGGGTTTTCTTTCATTGGCCCTTACTGTTGCCAAGTAGGAAGTAGAAGACAAGATATTGTAGAATATTAAATACTGACTATAGTGCATGGAATAATCTGGAATGATCCATAGCCAGCATGGTCTGGAGAGCCTAAGGGTATTCAGGAAGGGCTCCCTGCCAGAGAAGGTAAATTTGCTTTCTCCAAGTTCATTAAACAATGTTGCTTTCACCACATGTTGGCTTTTTTCAGCTTGAGGGAACTAACCCCCAAATTGGAAACCCCAGGATGGAAGGCCTGGCCAAATCCTAGAGTGAAATATTAGAGGAGAGAAGAAAGGCTTAGAGAACTAGTCAGGCTAATAGGTTGCCACGTAAAAATGTAAAAACTAAGAATTAATGTCAAACAGAGAGATAGTTTTCCTCTACTTGCCATGTGCAAATCTTCTCTTGTGGGGGGGGGGG